ACATTCATATCTAATAATGAAATCATACAGTAAATGTTACACTTTACCTTGAAAAAATATGAATATAACTTGATGGGGGATAAGGGTGATGTTGAGGCTGAGGAGTCATGAAACATCAAGCTTTTCTTCAAGTGTTATAGCCTTTCTTTTACAATCACCACCGGAAATGCGATCACCAGAGTGCTTCCCAGAGATATTCTTCTTTTCCATAGTCACAAAATTGGAGAAACAGTAATCAGAATTCACTGAGGACACTTAAAAACTTCACAAGTGTTTCAAACAAAGTGTGGAGTAAACAGAGCGCGCGGGTCTAAAACGCTATGTATTTTGTTTTTCTCTTATTTAAAATTTTACATTTTACATATACTGTACAGGTATACTGTATACATAAATATTACATAAATTATTTCTGCAATTCTTCACAAACAAAACACATAAATCAATTGAACATGTGATGTCGAACGTGAACTGTAAACACTGCATAACCCCGCACCAAGCCACAATGTACAGTACACTTTAAATGCTACTTATTTTGTTTTTCTCTCTTATTTAAAATTTTACAATTTACATATACTGTACAGGTATTTCTTCACAAACAAAACACATAAATCAATTGAACAAGTGATGTCGAACGTGAACTGTAAACATTGAGCCAAGCCACAACACTGTTCAGTACACTTTAACACTTTAAACGCTACGTATTTAGTTTTTCTCTTTTATTTAAATTTTTACGATTTACATATATATATATATATATATATATATATATATATATATATATATATATATATATATATATATATATATATATATCATGTAAATCCACAATGAAAACGTGGATAAGATAAATCTTGATAAAATCACACGGGAAAATGGAAACAACGGAGCACCTTAGCTTTCGTCTTTATTCAAGACATCTTCAGAGGCAACTGGATTACATGGACAGAGAGAGGCTTAAATATACAGGGTGACCTAAAAACATGAGGTCAGCTCATAATGATGACATCCACTAATCCCCACACCAACACACACGTAGAGGAGCTTAAGAGAAGGGTGGTGACGTGACTAGCCAGGTCAGGTCAGAAAAAAGGGACCCACAAAATAACTATCATACATCTAGATCAAAGGTTTTCAAAGCATTTTTAACCTTGGGCCACTGACAAATAAATTTATGTAACATATTATCAGTTTTGAACTGACCATCACTAAGGTTTATTGATTTTAATTCCTTAATCAAACTAGCTTCAACCAGAAGTCTTTCTGTGACACAAGATGATTTGTGGGGATTAGTGGATGTCATCATTATGAGCTGACCTCATGTTTTTAGGTCACCCTGTATATTTAAGCCTCTCTCTGTCCATGTAATCCAGTTGCCTCTGAAGATGTCTTGAATAAAGACGAAAGCTAAGGTACTCCGTTGTTTCCATTTTCCCGTGTGATTTTATCAAGATATATATATATATATATATTACAATTTACATATATATATATATATATATATATATATATATATATATATATATATATATATATATATATATATATATATATATATATATATATATATATATATATATGTAAATTGTAATTTACATATTATTCATATTATGCTAGAGCGCCCATAAAACATGAGAAACGTTTGAGTCCCCCAGTAGAGATGTCCGTTCTCTATCCACTCCAGGATGTCCGTTTTCTTTTTGTGTACTCGCTCAGGGACTCAAGTATTTCTGTATATGACACAGGATGATAAGGGAATTTGAATTTATTTGTTTATTTATTTATATATAATATACTGTAATATATTAAATATACTGCAAGTATTTTCTTTAATTTATATACGTGTTTCGCGAAAAAGGGAGGCTACATTTATGGTGATCGTTAAGGACCAAACTCCGAATCCATGACGTGACTTCTGTTCATTATTTATATCCTAAATTTACCACTGTAGGTAGTTTCAAGAATTAATGCAGTCATTTACTGAATATTCTTTGCAAAAAAATAAATTTTAAATGAATTATTTATAAGAGATAAGTATTATGATCAGTAAATATACAGATATGCATTACTGACCACCTCCGAACACAAGGACGGCTAAAAATAGCCACAGGCGGTCACAGTCAAGGTCACTTTCCCTTTCTTGTCACTGGCAAATGGGGGAGGGGGGGTGGATGATAATAGCAGCTGTGTTTATTACAGTATGTTAGACTGGTTTATAATACATTTTTATTATTTTAATATACCGGTAATCTTCATTTTAATCCAGCTTCCCAAACGTAAGTTTCAGTATAAAATAATTAGTGGTACTGTAGGACCATGTGAGTGGTTTACTGTATACATAAATATTACATAAATTATTTCTGCAATTCTTCACAAACAAAACACATAAATCAATTGAATATGTGATGTCGAACGTGAACTGTAAACACTGTGTGTGATGTAGAGAGAGCGCGGGTGTAAAACGCTATGTAATTTGATTTTCTCTTTTATGTAAAATTTTACAATTTACTTATAATATATAGGTATACTGTATACATAAATATTACATACATTATTTCTGCAATTGTTCACAAACAAAACACATAACTCAATTGAACATGTGATGTCGAACGTGAACTGAAGCCACAACAACCGTTCGAGTGGAATCGCGTTAGAGCAAACGAGTTCGCGTTTTACAAATATCGTTCCTCAATTCATAAATCGCGTTCGAGCAAATTCGCGTTGTCAAAACACGCGTTATAGCAGAACTCACTGTATTTGAATGGACATTAACCGGCGACTGTATTTCTCTTAAATATTAATTGTGTGTGCATACCATCATAAAATTAAGATGTTATTTTTACTACAACATACGTATTGTGTCGGAAAAAGTGTAGTTTGGGGGTCGGCCCAGTCTCTATTTCAATTAATCCCATATGTTGTTATTTCGTTTACGCGTTTCTCGTTTTACGCGGACCATCACGGGTTCAATTGACTGAGTAAATGCAGACTATACTGTACATGAGATTTACAGTATATAGTTGAAGGAGCATTTTCTATCTTTGTATCTGAAAGTATGCTTTAGAATTCCCAAATCTTGATTTGTTTTTCTCATTGCTGCCCCCACTTGTTGGGTCACTTTCAGTGAATGACCAATTACAACTCCCAGATCTCTTTTCTTATTGAAAATATCCTGGAAGAGTTGTGATTAGGGTTCTTGCATTCTTTGTGTAGGGTCTTACATTTCTTAATGTTCATGATCATTTGCCAGTAACGAGACCATTTGAACAGCTCAAGCATGTCTTTCTGCAATGTTGCAACCTTGTCTGGACTTACTACCTTCCCAAATATCTTCCTGTCATTTGCAAACTTGATAATGTGGCTTAATATATTTTTGTCCGTAGATCACAAAAGGGTGGGTGCAAGGAAAGATCCTTGTGGTACTTCACTGAGAACCTTAATCCATTCAGAATGTACTCCATTTATGATCACCTGTTGTTGCCTGTCCGGAGCCATTTATTAATCCATTTCAAAATTTTGTCTGTGATGCCATGTGCCTGGATCTTAAGAGGCCTGTTGTGTATTTGGGACTTTGTTGTAAAATAAAAAAAAAAATATGAAAAAATCTCACACTCAAATTCCCGGTGCTTCTTTATAAAGTGAACCAGCTGACCATCATCTGCCTCCCTCCAAACAATGTTGTCAATGCTCTACTTCTCTCATGCATCTCTACTGTCACTGCTCAAATGGTTGGTGCTTACTGCAACAACTTTCTTCAAAACTTATTAACCCTTTTATTGCTCCTGTGTTTGATCGGGTACGGGCTTTGTAGACTGCTCCTGTCCCCTATTGGGGATCAAGATGTGTGTGCCAATTTTTCAAACACTCAATGCTCCCTAAGCCTTAGCCACTCACTATCCACTGTCCTGAGTCACCCACGCATCACTTCCCGTTAAATTAGCGCATCAGTCAATGTTAACAGTGATGAATTACACATGTCCGTCAACCTCTTGTGGCTACTTGGCTATGCCTAGCATTCCTCCATGTAAGAAGTATCGACAGAAGTATTACACTGCTGAGGAAGCTGCTGAAATACTACTTAACATGAGTAATAATGAAGAAGAAAAGGAAATTGCAAATATCAAAAACCAATCTGACGAATTTGAGGAATATGAGACTTTGGTAGAGAATGATAGTGGTAGCGAGAGTGAAGTGGAAGATACTGGAGCCCCAATTCAAGGAACTCCTGCGATTGTGTAGTCCGATGGTAGTGATTTTATACCAAAAGTGTAAGATTTTGATCATAGAAAACAGATGAACTCAACATCCTACTAGTACCAATGCCCTCCCTCCCGCCCTATGCTCACTCAACTTCACTCCTCTGTGGTATGCTATTCAAAGTGAGTACTGTACAGCATTTAAACTCTGTATTTTATTTATTCTCATGCATATGTAACTGTTGATATGTGTATTATTGTACAGTATTTTGAGAACTTTGAATGTCCTCGAAATGATGTGCACACAGGGTTGGGTCCCATTGACACAATGTGCAGTTAAAGATAAATAATATTGTAGTGTATTTATCAACACTTCATAAATAATAATGTAGTGTATTTATACATTAATCAGTTTTCCAAGTGTAATAAGTAGTCATATCGAGCCATTGTGTATCACTGTTGATTCCAATGCTTCAATGATGGATAATTACTTATGATTACGCTTATTAGCAGTAGAACCACCTCTCACACCTCCTAGTCGCTTGGAAGATGATATGTGAGAAAATATAAGCAAAATATAAGCAAAGACAAGAGTGTATAACCAACACACTTGGCTGGAGATATAACACCAGATTCAAAACATGCCGGACCAGAGAGCTTCAACATGTATTTAGTTCTACAAAAAATTTTATACATTTATGTAGAGGAATTATATATACACCAGATGTGATAATAATAATAACAATAATAATAGTAATAATAATAATAAATCAGGCATCATACACAAGGTTGTACAAAAATATTCAGTAGACATGTAACTTTTACTGTCACATATTTACAATTTCATTTAAAAGTTTCTTTGAATTCACATCATTTTGGCACAATGATTTAAAAATTGTTTTTTTTGGTCAGTGTTATATATATTTATATATTAAGATATACCAAGTAAATGAGCACCAAAGGACTACCTGGATCTAGGAAACCTATAAAATACTGACAACACTGTGGCAGTGATGTGCGCTTCATCGCGAGGATAAACGTTTGAGAATCTCCATGACTATCATAACTCTTATTTTGACTTTCAGTGCCAAAATATTGACTGAGCAAAGCTTATTGGATTACACATTTTGCTTTACCTAGTATATGTATGTGATCTTCAACTGGAATCACAGAAAGGCATCACAAGTACACCAAAATAATTCCTGCAGGACCTATGGCACCAGACAAGAGGGCATTACTGAATAAGACCTACCACAGTCATATGATTGAAGGTAATTAACAACCATATAATTATTAATAAATTATTATTGCTTCTCTACATGGCATGATGAAGAAATGTTTCATCATGACAGGGTTTAAATATTCAAAACTAATAATGACTGCATGTCAAAACAGAGACGTCTAAAAGTTCTTTATTTTTTCAACGAGTCATTGCAGTTTTTTTATGTATCTAATAATACCCTCTTTTCCAGGCCATAAAAAACACAGCAGTTAGGTCTCAAAGTCCTAAGTGTCACTTGATCTTACCACCAAAGCTGAGTAATTAACCATCAAAAAATTTTAAACATAAGTTGGTTGAAATTGGGCTCCTTCAATTCTCAATTAAAATATAATAAACCACCATTCACATTCTACAATACAGGTTGTTAATCAAATTTAATGAAAGCTAACTTTATTATGAGCTAAATATTATGTTACTCTGTGCTATATCAAGTGATATCCCAGATCTTGGACCAGACTTAATTGAGTGTAAAAAAAAAAAATAATAATAATTCATGGACACTACTGTATAAAAAACTAAACCTTAAAAAAAATTATATAAAAAACTAAATTAATAAAAAATTCTTAGTGTATTGGAAAGTAAACAGAATTTCACATCCAACATGTTGTTTTAGTCACATAAAATTATAAATTCTGTGCATTATGTACAAGCCTGAGGACTACATAGCCACAGTTGTCACTATGAGTTCACATTCTTATCTCTTGCCTTCTTGTTACACATGGAAATCTGGTTATTTCCCAAGAGCAAGTGAAGGGTCAGAGCAGAGGTTATAAATCTTAGTTATTTCTTTGTATTTTTTAAATACCTAACTTTGTTACAACTGGAGTCCTAGATAAGGTAGTTTAATATTACATTAATAATCATTTATGTAAAGTGCCAACTACTTTTTACAATAATTATGTCAACATTGTACATCTTAATTATTAGATTATGAATGTTACGCAAAACTACATAAAATAAGAAAAAATGAAAAAAGTACAAGAGATAAAGACTAAAGTTTAAGAGAAAAGACATCTAATAAGATTCATTTAACAGATTTTATTGTTAATAAATTTCATCTCTCGTTTTATCTATCATAGAAAACTTATCACCATGTTAAACTGTATGAAATTTACCTAATTAATGATAACTCTACATTCAACCTTCATGAATGAACTTTATTTATGTAAACACAAAAAATGAACACACTACATCACTCACCAAGGACTTGCTAATAACCATCACTCGGCTCATGTAACTTCCAAATTTGAATATCATATTTTTGTTGAAATAAATCCTGGGCACTCAAGGTAGTCAACATACCTAACCTAACCTTATTATCTGAAAAACTATGGTTTTATTATTTACTTCCTTCTCTTACTACTCCTTGAGGAACCTGGCAGATGGGGGCCTTGAGAGGGTAGCTGCCCAGCCAAGGTACATGAGCGGCAACAAAATCTGGCATAGTATTTATTTGTGCAATATTTTGCACGAACTATTAACTTACAGTTTGCAAAGAAAGGATTGTCGGTGCAGGTCGGATGTACATAAATTCCTGAAAGTAAAGAAAGAATACTTGCTAGATTAAAATACTATATACTGTACAATATACTGAATATGGCATTACCTAATTGCAGAACTTTTATCCAAAGCTCACTCTTCAGGGATCCTCTGATGAGGTGCTCACAAGGAAGAAATATTTTTCCAAGCCTTAACCTTCATAAAAAATCCTCTGACATTAAAACTGAAAAACAAAAAACAAAAAAACAAAACAGAAACTACGGGTAGTGTAGGGAGAGGAGAAAGTGACATTCATCTCTCTACACCAGATAATGATATATCACTCTTCTGACACTATCATCTGGAATTAATTGGGCTGATTTACATCCTAAAACAATAAGGAGTGAGGGTCATTCCTTTTCAGAACTATCAACTTATCATTGCCCCTTCCTTGGGGCTATTCAGGCACTGAAAAAGGTTAATAACTACTGATAAGGGTATAGTAAGGACCCACCTAAATCAACAGATGTTAACAATTGCTTCTCAGCCTCCTCTATGTACAACGGTTTGGCTGCTGATAAAATTCCACTTAATGCAACACAGTATTTTTTCTTTATTTTCACAAACCTCTTTTTACTACACTGTAGGGTGGTGAGACAGATATCAATCTCCTAATTCTTTGTAGTAAATCCCATGTTCAAGAAGCTATGAGTATGATGTGGGAATTTGATGAAAAATTTTGTTGGTTAGATGACTTTGTTTTAGAATCAAGACATCCCAATATAGTTTGAATGTCTGAGTAAACAGCTATTTCCAGAGTATAGCAAAGCAGTACTACAGAGGGGATATAGTGAGCTGCATAATTTAGGAGCCATAAATTATACTTTAACTCTCATATAGAAATGAACAAAATCATAAAAAAATCTACAAAAAATATGTCAATATGGAAAAAAATACAAGCAGCACTAAGAAATGTGTATAAACTACTTAATCTGAAGCAAATCAATTAAGATGATAATAACCCAGTAATGATAACTCCACACCCCCAGAAGTAGACAAGATTACTTTTTAAAACAGTCACCGTTGCCCTACAATAATAGGGTATACCTTAATGAGCAATTACTGTATAGTACAGTTTATGTGTTTTAAATTTAAAACAAATTCAATGAGTTGTTTTTATGGCATTACCTGGAAATGAACAACAGAATAATAATAACATCACAAAGTTTCATCCTTACAGGGAATACCTAATACTGTATAAGAAATTCTGTTTCCAGGTTATCTGCTTTGGCACTTCCCCTCCTCTATATCTAGTCTAGAGAAATAAGAAAACAAAATTCCCTTGTGTAAAAAATACACTGTTGTGCATTTGGTTACTTATTGAAGTACAGTATAACCACATAACACTATTTTAATTATATACAGTATATCCTGTACAGTATACTGTATATAAATATATATACTGTACCCATTGGCCCATGCCTCAAGACAGCAATGAATATAATGAAAAGTTCAATATAAAATCATTTCACAGATACAATTCATACCTTTTATAGTGATGAAGGTGGTGCTGTCAGCAATGCCAAATTCATTTTGAACCTGGCACTTATACATTCCTGAGTCATCAGCTCGTGCATCATTGATTACCAAAGTTCTATCATCTGCAGAGATAATGATGAAATGTTAAAAAATGTTATCAAACCACATAATTAGTAAGACACTCTTGCTGAAGAAAATATGTCCCTAAGGACTACAGCAAGCAGACCCTGATTTATGAGATGGTTACATTCTTGAAAACTTCTAGTAAACTGATTTTTTGCAAATCAATGCATTTTCACATGGACTCCCATTATATAATTGAAAATATATTTACTATGGGTAAAAAATCCCATGCCAGATTTCTGATGATCTATATAATCCTCCATTGTTTATATATGTGAATGCTGTGGTCACAAACATTTGAGTTATGATCGAGGCTTCAAGGTGTCTTGGTTCCTGCCGGATATACTTTGTATTCTTTGTTTAATACCGATTTTTCACAATGATCTCAGACAAACATAAAAGTGATAGAACTAAGTTTAACAGTGCTGAAAGAAAATTAAAAGTGCTTAGTCTATGTCTGTCTTTGATACCCCCAAAATGTTCTACACTACTGAGGGTATACGCAAACACTTATTATCTTGAAAATAGGTTCTTATTCTCGAATGGGAGATAAATACAGAGGAACAAATTGACAGTGGGCTTCCACGCCATAAGGACTAGCGATCTCAACTCCCTGTATCACTCCGCGCTGGCATGCACAGATGCCAGCGTTCACAAGCTGAATACATAATATGTAAATATGATAATACATATACATAACATGGTGCATAATAAATGGAAACATTACATAGGATTAATTCATGTTCTGTAATACTTTACTATACATAATTAATAGAGTAATATAAGAATACACAGCTTAAGGTACTACTTCGTGTCCATATTATACACCTCCCTCCCCCCTATATGCTCATAGTTTCAACTTGAGAGGACCTTTTGTTTCTGAGTCGCTCGGACCTGCGGAGTACCGGGGCAGAAACACAAGGTGGAGATGGATTTACTGTAAAGACATCAACATTAGGGGACTCAACTGGGGAAGGGTCAACACTAGGCAGCTCCACAGGTCGGAGGAAACGACGGTTCCTCCACCATACTCTACCACTAGGAAGACGCACTTGGCAGTCCCTGGATCGGCCAATGCCCATGACAACCCAAACCTTGTCCCAGCGATGAGATACCGGATCTTGAATCCTGACCTGCTGGCCGATACTCAATCTGGGAAGGGGGCGGGCATGACAGTCGTACTGAGCAGCGACATCTGCGGCTCGTTCTGCTGCACAGCGGTCACATTCTTCAGTCTTGGCCTGCCATTCTTGAGAAAAAGACTTCGGGTGGGCAGGAACACAAGACCTGAGATGATGTCCATATAGAACCTGGGCTGGGGAGCGTCCGGTGAAGTTCGGGGTGTTGCGTAACTTTAACAAACCTCGATCGAAGTCCTAGCAGTCGATATTTCCTGAGGGTGACACCTTAAGGATCAGGTGTTCAACGGTCTTGACTGCGGCTTCAGCGTGTCCATTCGCCTGGGGGTAGTAGGGCGAGGTCACGACAAGGCGGACTCCCCAACAGTCCATGAAGTCCCGGAACTCATGGCTGGTGAACTGGGGTCCTCCATCAGTCCTGAGGCGGAGGGGAATACCAACTTCTCTGAAGTAATGTCTGAAATTCCGGATGGTAGCAGTAGCCGTTGTATCACTCCCACAGGGGACGACAACAGGCAGCTGGGTTGCAGAATCTGGCACGGCTCACAGGCACGGACGGTACTTGCAATGTGCGAGTCGATTCCGGGCCAAAATACAGTCTGCTTCGCCCGTCGCTTGGTGGCCTCCACTCCTCGATGGCTGTCGTGAAGGCGGGTCAAGGTATGGCGGCGTAGGGCAGCAGGAATGACTACTCGTGGACGATACAAGACGAGATCTCCGTCACAATAGAGGTCCTCGTGTACCTTCCAGTACGGGAGTAGCGATTCATGAAGGTCGTATCGGTTAAATGGAAATCCCTGGGACACACAGTCGACGAGCCGGATGTAGGAAGGGTCGGCCCGGGCTGCGGTGCGGAGATCTTCAAGGGTCGTGTCTGCATCCGGTGCTGTAGACTCTTCTGATGTGAAGACGGCCTTCAATAAGACTACTGACTTGAGGGATGCGGTAGCTGTAGAACACAACATCTCGTCCTCTGGGGTGGGGCGACTGACAGGGGCGTGGGACAGAGCATCCGGGATGCACAGCAGCTTACCCGCACGCCACACAGCCATGAAGAGATAAGGCGAGAGCTTCTCTTTCAAACGTTGAAGGCGAGGATTTTCTACTGCATCCAAAGAGTAGTGATTGATAATAGGTACAAGAGGGCGATGATCCGTGAAGAGGGTGAAGTGCTAAAGTCCTATCAGGTAGAAGCGGCACTTCGCCATCGCACAGACAACAGCCAACATCTCCAGCTCAATCGTGGCATATCGGGTCTCGGCGTCTGTCAGGAACCGGGATCCACACTGAATTAAGCGGAGTTGTCCACTGCCATGGTCCTGCAGAAGGGCGTAACCAATGCCGTAGAGTCTGGAGGCGTCAGTCTGGAGGACGGTGGGTAGGGCTGGGACGTAACAGGCGAGGACAGGTGGACTTAAGAGGGCCTGCTTGACTCGCTGGAAGGCCTCTTGATGATCTGGGGTCCACAGGAATGTCCTCCTGGGGCTCAGCAGGGGGCGTAACGCCTGGGCTGCGGCGGAGATGTCAGGTGAGAATTCAGCCAGCTGATTGACCAGACCCAAAAAAGAACGGAGGTCTGTCAGGTTGGCAGGGGTTGGAAAATCCCTGATACCACTTAATTTCTCCGGGTCATCTGGGATACCTGATGCTGAGAGAGTGTACCCACAGAAGTTCACTGATGGTGCGGCGACTACAAACTTGTCAGCGTTGAGGGAAATCCCGTACTTTCGACATCTGGTGAGAACTTCATATATTCGGGAGAGGTGGGTACAGTAGTCTTCGTCATGGAGTAAAATATCATTAACCACCTTGACACAATTTGTGACTCTTTGAAGGGCCGCGTCACCACGTTGACAGAATGCATCGCCCGTAGCGGCAAATCCCATGGGGCCTCTGCAATACTGATATCTTCCATATGGTGTGATGAATGTAGTCAAATGCTGGTCTTCTTCGGCCAACTCGATCTGCCAATAACCACATAAGGCGTCCATCGTTGTAAAAAACTTCGCCTTCGGGTCCACATTTCGAACAGCTGCGAAGGGTGTGGGTGAAGGGTGGGCTGGACGGGAAACTTGCTGGTTAAGTTTTGATAGATCGGTGGTGATCTGTACTCCACCACGAGGTTTGGCGACGGGGACGAGGGTGGCACCAAGGTGAAGGTTCGTCTCCGGCCGGCTTGATGATTCCCTGAGCAGCCATGGAGTCAAGCTCTTGTCTAACTAGCTCCTTGAAGGCGTGAGGAATCAAATGAGGGGTGTGGATGGCAAAAGGTGTGGCACCATCCTTAAGATGAATCTTCATAGGTGGACCCACCATCGGCTTGAGTGGTGTGGATCCTAAAGATTTCTTCGTAACTAACACGTCAGCAAACTCCTTGAGAAGGTAAGCTCTTGCATCAGAAGGGGACGTGTTAGTAGAGATAGGGAGTTCCTTCAACCTGTTGACATGGGTGACCTTTAAAATAGGTTTGGGGAATTCCTTGGAAATAATGGCCAACTCTTGACAATGGCCATATGATAAAAGCGGAGTCGGGATCCCATCATGAACATCAATCCGGGCTGAACAAGACTGCTTACCAAAGGTAAGAGTAGCCCAGAAAAATCCCAAAGCTGGAGCCATCTTGGAACCATCAGCTGTCAGTTTCGTTGTCTGAGGAGGGGGCTGTAGGTTGCTCCAGGGTATTCCCAAACTTGCTAAGTGTTGTGGACCAATTACTGAGACGTCAGCACCGGTGTCAGGTAACATCTGAAGACTGGATGACAAGTTACCGTGAGAAATGACGACACTGACGTGCTGGGACGTCGTGTCTGTGGAACAATGTATATGACGGCAGGAACGACTGGGTACAGCGTCTTGATGCGTGCCAGAAGGAGGGGGCGTGCCAGCACTACCTGAGGATGACTTCTTGGATCCTTGGTGGTGTCCTTTCTGTGTCTTCTTACGACAACATTTGTCATAATGGCCCACACGACCACAAAGTCTGCACTGAACTTTGCTAGCAGGGCACTTGACTGTGTAAGCTCAGTGACCCTGACGGTTGCAACTTCTGCACACGCTTTGAGCAGCTGGGCACTGGGAGGCATTATGCTGTCTCGTGCAGCTGTTACACAAAGCTGCTGCTGAAGGTGTAGCTGGAGGGTGAGGGGTGGGGTTACCTTGCTGCTTCTTACCCTTTCTGTAGGAAGGCACCGCCCTCACCTGGTCAGGTTGTGAACGTAAAGCTGAAGTCGCATACCTGGCGGCCTCGTACGCTCGACATTTTGTAACAACATCTTGAAGGGAGGAAGTGGGGTCAAGTGAAATGAGACGCTGAACTAGCTCTTCATCTGGAATACCCGTCAAAATGATTGTCTTGAGTTGTGTCTCTTCACAAACTTGAGAATTTCCAGGACAAACATCAACTTCCTCTGAACATCTTTTCAGTCTTACAAAAAATGCATCAAAAGATTCTCCATCAAGCTGCTTACATTGGAGGAGTTCAATTCTTCTAAGTGCTTCGTTGCGCTGTCCCTCAACATGTTCCTGTAACTTGTTAAGCACGGCCTCTACAGTCAGAGTTATCGTAGGAGGCACTTGAAGTGTGTGCTCGAGAGTACGTTGTGTCTCTAAGGATAGGCACATACGAAGCTGTATCATCTGTTTAGGCTGTGGTAAACTTAACAGGTCAACCATTGTTGTATAGTCTTGCCAACGTCGACGCCATTCCCGAAATATCTGATAAGAAGCGTCAGACTTCAGAGAGGGAGGCATTTGTGCTGCAGCCTTTTGAAGAATTGTTGAACCGACTCTGGGAAATGAGGTACCAGTACCTCTAGTCGTATCAGCATTAGTAGTAGCTGAAAAATCTTGTAGAGTAGATA